TCCAGTCTACCCCGAGCTAACTGGAACACAAAGATATTGCTGAACATTCTCACTTATTAGAAAACATTTCTGGGGTCACGTCGCTCCTTTCTGACCACAAAGGCAATCTGGACAGACAGGGGGGAGGGGCTTGGCTTGATTTCCTTTCTCAAGGCCCCCCTCCATTGTACGCATGATGGAAAATTTTGATATTGTTAATGTAACCTGCATCTTACCAGCCTTCTCAAAGATCTAAGGTAGCTGCTGACACTAGAAGGGTGCTAAAGTGACGCAGACAGAGCTAAGGCTATGGAGAAAGCAGAGGTGGGTGGGCAGCAGGTCCACAAACCACCACAATCATGAACATGCACCGTGTGGCTCAAAAGACTTCTTAAAATAGCAGTCCTGAACATGAAACTGGCTTCTGTCTGATCCAGTGTCTAAACTGATGTGCTTATTGAATCAGCCTTGAGCTTCCTGGCTGGCAGGGGGAAAATGGAAGCATTTCACCCCATCCAATTTTATTCTCTGTACTGTGAACCATCGAGCTTTGCAGATGACTGAGGCAGGCGGGTGCTTGCCTGACAGACTCAGAAACCAGTACTTCAGCGGAGACAAACATTTTCCCGTTCCAAATTCTTTTTTTCCTTTTTTTTATTTTAAAGAGAATAGTAGAAAAAAAAGAACATCATCACAGACATAAACAAAACAAAGCAAGAACATTAAAAATGACACAGGGTTTCAAAACAAAATGATAGGGATTAACAGTGGTTGTTATATTACATATTGTTATCTCCAACGAAGTTGCTCAGATTTCCAGATGTATGAATGGAAGATCGATCAAACCATTAAAGAGAATAAAAATAATAAAAAAGCATTAGAGACAATACAGAATTTCACTAGACAGGATGGTAGGAGTTCACCAATGGCTGTTATATTGCATATTGTTGTCTTCAAATTAGTTGCTCAGATTACCAGACATAAGCATGTGAAACTGGTCAAAACACAAAAAAATTTAAGCATTAACTGTTCTTTTCAATATACCATCAGACATCAGCAGTACAGTTATCCCAGCTATCCATATCCATATATATATATATTTTTGTTTGTTTGTTTGCCTTCTTTCTTTCCTCTTCTCCTTTCCCTCATCCCAGTTGTTCCTTCCTTTGAGCAGTTTCTTTCCCTTTCACATCATCTGTTGTATATTTTGGGGTTTATTTACTCTTTCAGGGTCTTGCATGAGGGAGACAATATGATGCTTACATGTGGAGCGTTTTAATTTTTTTTAATATAAGAAGCTTTTATATTAGGAATACTGACTTTTTATAGCTTTGGATTTTTCGATTTAAAAGAGATGCATCTATAATCACAGCACTAATGACTGTTAGCCTCTTTTTTATATCTCCCTGTTACTATATATACATATATATGCGTATAATTTTAAAAGATAACTAAATACATACTGCTGTAAAATGTGCTTTTGCATTTACCACTGTTGCATGCATTTTTTTCATGATAATGATATTAGGCTTCTTTATCTTTTTAATGTACACATTATATTTCAAAACACTGTTATCCCTTCATACCGACCGGGCAACGGTTACAGCTCCCCAACACCAAAATCTGTGGGTGTTTGAGTCCTTCAAATAAAATGGCATAGAATTTACCTGTAACTCACACTCATCTTCCAATGCACTTTTTTTTTTGAGACAAGGTCTTGATATGGAGCCCAGGCTGGCCTTGAATTCACAGCAATCCTCCTGCCTCAGCCTCCTGAGTGCCACAATTACAGGTGTGCTTCACCATGCCTGGCATTCAAGACACTTTAAATCATTTGTAGGTTCCTTACAATTCCTGATACAATGTAAATTCTACGTAAATAGCTGTTACACTGTATTGTCGAGGAAATGACATCAAAAGTCTGTGCCTGGTCGGTACAAAGGCAGTGTCTTCAAATGTTTCCATGCACGGTGGTCCGACTCCATGGGTGGAGCCTGAAGGTACAGAGGGCAGGCTGTGTCCACGCACAACAGTTCATCAAATTTCCTCTCGATGGGCGTTAAGTTTTTCCTGTTTCCTGTCAGTTACACAGGGTGCTGCACTTTTAACTTCTTTTTGCCAATGTGCTTGTTCACTTGTGTAATTACTCGCTTGACAAAATCCCAAACGTGAAATTACTAGGCGGAAACTTGCAAAGAGGCTTGGAAGCCTCTCCACGTGCCCCTTGGCAGGTACTACAATTCCAGCTCCCGCGAGTGCGTGGGACCCAAAGTCACTGCTCTGTCCAGGCCAGCACTGGTCCACGGGAAAGTGGCACGCCACAGTCATGACTGGGACAGTCCTGAGGGGTACATTCACATTCACTGGCCATTCATACTTCTTCGCTTGTAGCTTTTCAGTACTACTCTTTGTATGATTCTAATGGTTTAAGCATTTAAAATGCTGTTCTTATAAATGAAATGAGAATCTGATTATTTTCACTGACATATTTTCCAATCAGCTTTGTCTTAAATTTTTGTTTTATTTTTATATTAAAAGTCTTTTGTTCCCCTTCATGATGTTTTTGCTTCAGTACCATCTTTGGAAAAAAATTTCTGTATACACACACAACCACTACGACTGCCACCACCTTATAAACCACTTATCTGGATTTTCCAGGTAATTTGTCCCAGGCTGTAAATGAGCCACTTAAGCCTGTGTTCCAGGAGCAATTTGTTCAGTGGATGGATTGTACTTTTCTTTTTCTACATTTCCAAGTCATTTTCTCAATGTTTTCTGTTGGAAAAAGATTTATCCTGCATTCATGGATTTATCTTGTATTTAAAATGATTTCATCTGTTCATTTCTAGATTTTCTATTTTGCTCCAGCATGAGTCTTGTATCTTTCAGGTTATTTTACTTTCCCAATATTTCTCTAGTGTTACTTTGAAACAGTCTAATTGGCTAGAAATAGGGTTATTTGCATGCATTTTCTTCGGGTGAGCTCTGTAATTTCTAACACCTTTAGCTTTATTTTTCTAAATGCAGAGGTTTTCTGTATTTGTGTCATGCCTGGAGATAAACAAAAGACTAGAAGATGACACTGTAGAAGAGATAGTGCTTGGGAGGTGGGTGAGAGAAGAACTGCCAATCAGGAATGCCCAGCCCAGGCATTGGCTCTCTGGCATGAGAGGACCCAAGTGCAGAACCAGAAGGTGAGGACTAGACCCCACTCCCGTGGCACTGGCCTTAATGATAGTGACCTTCAGCTAGACTGCTGACCCAGAATCCCAGTCCACAACTCCCATGGGGGCCAGGAAAGGGCTAGGAGCACAGGTATTTCTGTGTTCTTTGTTGGTGCAACAGCCTAGATTCTAGGTCTCTTGTGAGTGGAATGTGCATTGCATCTTCACAGGCAATAAGTGTGAGTGAGTTATGTAGCAAACCAAGAGCGGCATGGTCTGCTTTGGATGAGGTCAGATGCATTGGTCAGCTTTCTTATGCTCAAGAAAAATGCCGGACATACACAACTTAATGGAAAACTTGGCTTATTTGGTTCATGGCTTGGGGGGGTTTAGTCCATGGTAGGCAGGCTCCGAGGCGGGAAGGTCACTGTGGATGGGCACCACCAAGGAAAGGCGCTCAGTTCACGGCAGCCAGGAAGCAGATCCCAGGGCAGGGTGCCACCAAGACAGACCCTCCAACGGCTCTCCCCAGTGACCCCGCCTCCAGCCGGGCCGCCTCCAACAGCGCACTCAGCGATGACGTCCTGCATTAATCAGTGAGGAGTATAACTCCCGGCGATGCGATCACCCCTCTGGGAGTCTCTTAGTCCAGTCAAGCTGACAGTCAAGAGGAACAGCAGACAAAGCCAGCGTCCTTCCAGAAGTGCCTTCAGACGAACTCAAGGGCTGTGATGGGCGTCCAGATTTGTGCACCATAAAGAACAGAAAAACCATCTCTGCCTACAAAATGGAAAGCCCAGCTGCTCCTGGGCTTTGCCTAGCAACTCCAGAATGATGAGCAGGGCCTCCAGTGCTGACCAGCAGCCCCTCTGACAGAGCAAGCTGCCAAAGATGTTTACCAGAAGCGTGCTTGCAGCGCCCCCCATCCATCCACTTGCCGAACGGGCTAATCCTGCCTCATTTACTTTTTACTGAGAATCTTCTAGAGTTGAAGTTTTTTGTTTTTTTTTTCTGACAGACTTGCTCTTTCTGAAAATAATTAATCTACAAGATTGGATTTAGGTGAAGTTGTTGCTCTTCTCAAAGGCACTGTCAGGTCCTCAGGATGGACGGCTGCTGGTTTTCCTGTTTGTCCTGGCAGAAGAGTCAGCATCAAAATCCATTTATCAGTCCACTGAGGTCAAACATCATTCTGCAACAAAAACAGCTGATCTCCCCTTTCTATGGAAAAGAGAGACCAAGCCCCCAAGGGCTACACATCTACTTGGAGTTTTGCTGGGTCACATCTCACTGGGGGAAGAAGCCTCCAGGTAGAATTCCTGGGAAGCACATCAGGAAACTCTAGAGGCACAAAGGGGTTCAGGTTTGGTTTCTACTGGTTTTGTTTTGTGTATTAATAACCCAGGGAAAGTTACCCAATCTGCAGGAAAGTGGAGAGGCAGGTAAGATCTCTAAGTTGAGAAAACCTAAGTTCCAGATAAACTCTTCACTTCCCCCAGACTCAAGTGTATATTATTTATAAAATAGGAAGCTACAGGTAGGAATGGTGGTACCACACCTGTAATCCCAGCTCTCTAGGAGGCTGAGGCAGGAAAATGGAGATTTCAAGCCCCGCCTGGGCAATTTAGCAACTGCTTCGAAATTAAAAATTTCAAGAAGAGCTGGGGATGCAGCGCAGCGCCAAGATCCTGAGTTTAATCATGAGTACTCCTGGGCTTCTTCCCCAGAGAAAGATATGTGTAAAACGCCTGCTGCAAGAATTATGGGGTCACAAGATGAAATGAGCTAGCCTACGGGAGCACTCTGGGAGCGTCTCTGGGGTCCGCAGGTGTCTACAGGACACACACAGGATATTCTCAATCTTTTATTCCCCATCCCACCGCGCACACCGGGGGCGGCCTCTTTCAGAAGAGCACGGTTTCTCTTTCCTTCCTGTTGAAGGGGTTGCAGGGTTTCACAGTTGTGACCATCCGGGACAGCGGCCCCTGGTGACGGAAGCGGTGAACTCCCATTTCTCTCCGTAAGGTGCTGAGACAGAATGGAAGAAAACAAAAACCTGATGGGTAAAACTGAACGAACACATGCAACCTCGTCTGTTCTCCAGCTAATGGTTCATATCAATGGGACAGAGAGGGAGGGAGACAGGGAGGGAGAGAGGGAGGTCAGATAGAGCGGAGAGAAGCTGGCTGGGAGCGGTTCACGCTGTCTGCGTTCTGTTTCATTTGCTGAACACCTCTGTACCTAGAGCTACAGGAGGTGCTGAGAAGGCGGGTGGACAGCTATGCAGAAAGTCTCTGCGGGGTGGCCAGGCCGGGTAGGGCACCTGAGGGTGGGGAAGGGCATCGGCAGGAAGGCCCCGGGGGAGGTTAGGAGAAGACACAGGTGCAAGGAACCTGGGCCCAGGGCGCTGGAGCGGGAGGGAGGCCCGGCGGGCGGGTGCCTCCAGGAGCCTGCACACTCCTGTCCGCTGGGCTCACGGCAACTCTACCCATGCCGCTGCACCCTCGCTGTGTCAGCTTTCTGTGCTACATGGCAGAAATAAATGTGCTCTGCCGAATTTACTGAGAATGAAAAGAAAGCAAATAGCCGGGCGTGTGGGATATGCAGGTGAGGTTTTATCCCGTCGCCAGTGTCATCCTGCTGAACCCGGGGAGGCAGCGCAGGCCTCCACATGGGCTGTGCCAACCGTCAAGCCCAAGCCCACAGCCCCTGCCCAGGAACTAAGCTGTGGACACGCTGCCGCTGCAGTCCCACGCACAGTGCATAAACACGCGCACGCGACACTCGTGTGCAGCAGGGCGCCGGGGTGGGAAGGCAGCCCCTCCCGAAGGGCTTGCTTCCCAGCTGTGACAGCCACGACATGCGCGCTGATGATGGTGATGATGGTGATAATGGTGGTGATGGTGGTGGTGATGATGCTGCCGCAGGACAAGCCAGGGACGTGCCACCCAACCTGACTGGGAGGGAAACGGATCACCGATCCGCCTCTGCCCACCCCCGGCACAGCCCGCAGCCTTGCTTCCGGGCTCTTCAGGCACCTCTGCCTGTCGGTCCTGTGTCCCACACAACGTGACTCCTGAGGGTCTCTGGGCAGTGGGGTGGCTGCCACAAATGTGGGACTGACCCCCTTTTGTGTGCACACTGGAAACCTAGGCAATGTAAAAGCAACTGCTGCCTTAGCAAATGTGTCGCCACACCCCCTGCGTGAAGACAGTCACCCCCTCTCCGGTCCCCCTATCCGTCCCGACCTGGCAGGCAGGTGAGGACCCTGGGCTGGGAGGAGTTGGACGCGGGGAGCCCTGAGGCGATGGTCAGCGTCTTCCAGGAGTGCAGAAGGGAATGAATGAGAACGCAAGGGAGAGAAGCAGCAGGCAGCTGAGAAGGGCACCGCATGGAGCTGGGACTTGGGTCTCATAAACTACAGGCCAGCAGTGAGAAGCCAGGCCCCGAGGAGCAAGCGGAGAGGAGCAGTGGGAAGGGTCAGGGGCCCGAGAGGAGGGGGAGAAAAGGGAGGGTCAGACAGAGAAGTGCGGGTGGGAAAAGTGTGGAAGGACACAGACTCCCAGAGGAAGGAGGGACAGGAAGTGAGCTGGCTGTCTCAGACAGAACAGGAGGCGGACCCGCTACAGAGAGGGACCCGGAAGGGTCTGGACACTTGGGTGGCAGGGGAAGGTTTGCAGATGGCCATGGATGTGGCCAAGGCTCCTAATACACCAGGAGCAGATTAGGAAGGAGCAGGAGGAGGACGGCGGTGGTGGACAGTGTAGAAATCACAGGAAAAGCCCGCCTGGGATCGAGCAGACAGGACTAGGAGGAAGTTGGCTCACGATGTTCTCAGGGTGCTCAGCAGACAGACACTGGGCTCATGCCTTCACTGAAAATTTCTACAGAACATCTTAAATATCCTGTCACAGAAAATCAGAGGGGGCCCTGGATGGGGGGGCGCCTCTGGTCATCAGGACCAGGGTGAAGGTCCAGGGCCACCTCCCGCTGGGGCACCGTCTGCACAGCTGAGCTCTCCCTGCCTTGCCCCTGCCGTGTTCCTCAGGCAAGAGCACTGCGCCCATCCCGGACCACTGTGGGGGGCTGTGGAGATGCAGCGCCGACCATCACTCGGTCAGAGGGGGCCTTCGCAGTAAGAATCCAGGGGAAGGTGCCTTGGGGTTCCTGACCCCATTGTGGAGCAACAGGTGACAGCCAGGTGTGCAGGACCCCCTGCCGGGGGCAGCTGTGTGCATCCCCAAGAAAGACTCAGGCGCTCTCTCCGGCGCTGACTCTGCTGAAGGGTGAGAGATGAGAGAAGTTTTTACCACACCCTGGGGACTTTGCCAGGAGACCCCGGAGACGTGGAGAACGGGCTGTCAGGGCATGATCTCAGGCACAGGTGAGAAGTGGGGTTGCATGCAGACTTTTCACTGTGAATAGATTTAGCTTCTCTTGCCATGGGGGAAGGGGAAATGGGCAGCTACGTGAGATGATCGGTATATTGATTTCCTTTACTATAGTAACCACTTCGCTACATATTTGTGTCCCAGAGCACCATGTTGCCTTAGCAACACAAAACAAAATTCATCTTAAAAATTGTACTTGTAAATGGGAAGGCCCAAACCCAAAGTGTCTGGGGAGAAAATTGAGTGCAAAATGTTAGTTCAGAGTGTCAGCGACCCACTTTACTTTACTTTACAAAGGTGAAGTACAAAAGGTGTCAGGGGGCCGCAGACTACATGACCCTCAAGTCAGAAATTCAGACTCCCTGTGTCAGGGTGCAGCTTTTTGTATGGAGGGGGACTAGAGTTGATCCGAGGCCTTTTCACTGAGCTTCACTGATAGCCTGATGGATTATGGATGGATAGATGATAGATAGATGATAGATGATAGGTAGGCAGATAGATAGATAGATAGACTGATTGATTTTTTACAGGTCCCCCTTAAATTGCCCAGACTGGGCTCAAGCTAGATGTTTTTCTGCCTCAGCCTCCCAGCATGCTGGGATTACAAGCATGAACCACTGCACCCAGCTCACCATTCCTTACCTTTAATCCCTGTCCTTCACACACACACACACACACACACACACACACACACACAGATGCAGTGGCACCCAGGGGGTGAGCTATGTGCTGAGGGCCCCTCCTGAGACCCGTTCCCTTCAGCCTCAGCCCAGCCCTGGGTGTCTGTTGCCAACCCCCTCCCTGGCCGCCTGCACCCCTCCCCCTCAAGTCCTCTTCGACGGTCCTCCCCGGCCAGGCCATCAAGGTGCATGGGCTCAGTTTCCTCATCTGTCAAGTGAGACAGCAAGGGGCCCTTGCTCACAGGCACCTGGCTGGGGGACGTGAGCTCTGTCCACCAAGCCCAGAGAGAGGCTGTGCTCCGCAGAGGCACTGTGACTGTCCAGTGTGGGTCATCGCCCTCCACTGGGCTTGGTTGCGCGTTGCTCGCCAGGAGGTCCTGAGCCCTTGCACACAGGCTTTGAGCCTGTGAAAACCTGCAGCTGTGGTGCGAACTTAACCAGTGGACAGATGAACTCACCCAACAATGGAAGAGTGAAGGACAAAATGAACACCTGGATGAACTGAGAACCACTGCTGCACACCTGTGACCCCAGCACTCGGGGGGCTGAGGCAGGAGGTTCACTGTGAGCTCGAGGCCAGCCTGGGCTACAGAGCAAGACCCTGTCTCATAAACACCAAACAATCCCCCACCAAAGAGGGAGTCCCACCTGAACATCCCCTCCTTAGAGAGTCTTGGCCTGCTGTCCTGGGACTCGACAGCCTTCTCTGTGACATCTGCTGTGACTGCCCACAGCGTGTGTCACCCTCCGGAATGGCTCCCTGTCTTGGGGACTCGGTACTTCTCTGCTTCCATCCTGAAGCTGAAGCGCTGCGAGCTGGGGTCTTTCCCGTCCAACCCTGGAAACCCGAGCTCTTGAAGGGCGCCCGGAGAGTGCTCAGAGAGGATAAGGCGAGCTCTGTGCAGGAGGAATGCCCGTGCCTCTCCCGCTCCCACATCCTCAGGAGCCCGCTCATCTAAGCCAGGGGCGCATTTGCATTTTCAAAACCTCATCCTCCCTGCTGCAGGCCAGGGCTTCCACACGGAGCTTTCGGGTTTGAGTTGTGATGAGAAAGAATGCGCTGTTCCTCACTACTGCACCAAACTGAAGCCCCCTCTATCCCTGCCCTCCAATATCCTCTGCTTTTGACTTGCGAAAGACCATCTGTGACAGCCAAGGGAGTTTTGCTATTTGTAAAACATACGACGGCATTCAGAAGAAGCAAGGACGTCCCATCTCAGTCCCTTTGCACATTTTCCTTCTGACACTGTGGGGAGGAGGGTGTGCGTGCCCACCGCTCTGCATCCCAGAGGCAAATATGCTGCGCTCTACCGTGTGTCAGACGCCTTACGATGCCCCTTTAGCCACACCTAGGTAAGCATTAATCTACATTTTTTTTCAGTGTAATTTTGAATAAGATTCCAAAAGAAAATCATGCAGAAAGCCAAACAAAATTCCCCTCAGTAAAAAGACTAATTCTTCTCCCTCTTGGACCTGATGCCCCAAATTTACAAGCAATGTAAATTTGCTCTTAGTACTTAATTGTTCCTTAATGCAATAACCATAATTAGGGTTTCCCTTCTGATGTATCTGAGCAAATTGAATAATGAGACTCATACTCACCGGTGCAGCTCCGAGTCCGGTGATGGGGTTGTTGATGGAATATTAGCATTTGCTGGCTGGGTGGCCATGAAATGAACCTTGCCGGTATACCCCGGAATATTTGCGCCCCTGAAGTGAGGAGTTAAAAGAGGGGGATGAGAGGAAATGAAAATAATGATTTGTGAAATAGTCAAGGTAACTAGAACCCAAATAGGAAAAATATAAAGGAGAGGTCTCATTTTTTTTTTTCTCTGCCCAGGGTCTAGAACTTGGGCTGTCCAAACAGGAAAGCCTGCGCGTGTGGGGTGTGCCGATGCGCAGATCTCAGCACCTCCTCTCTGGGCCAAGAAAACGAATTGCGAGTGCATGTTTTGCCATTATTTTACATTTGCGTGTCTTTTACATACATGACTCATTGTGAATTGAGTTTCCCAATGAAGGAAGACACCAGCTCTTGACAAAAGTGCAGATTTGTGCTCCACACATAGCTCTCCAACGCTGGCTCCAGCACTAATCCACATCTATTGACTGCTGTGCTACTTTTTACGGAAAGTCTTTGGTTAATGCCCCATACTACTAATTACAGGCGATTTCCTAAAATTACACACTGAAATCCAGTGCCGGCCTGTGCTCCGGCTTGCTTAGCTCAACTCTACGGGCAGTTCTGCTTCCCCATCCTCCCTACCAGAGAGGAAAGCAGGAGAAAGGAAAGCACGAGGACATGGAAGGTGTAAAGTGCGTACGGAAAAGTGCGCTCTAGAAAAGGCAAACGAGCACCCAAAAGACACATTCGGGCTGGGGATTTAGCTCAGCGGCACAGCACCTGCCTGGCAAGCACGAGGTTGTGAGTTCTATTCCTGGTATTGGAAAAAAATCTAAAACAAAACAAAACAAAACAAAAGACACATTCAACCCGCAGTTCAGGAAGATATGAAGAATAACTCGTGAGTCTGCCGCGCTGGCACCCAAAGTGGTCGCACTGACTGTTTCCCACAGACGGGCGGAGACCAGCAGCAGGGCCAGGCCCGGGCAGCCATGATGTGATGCTTGCTCCGAGAGCAACGGAAAAGAAGATGGATCTCAAGAAGCGTGGGCAGCGTTCTGCAGCCTGTGAGGCCCCGTGCTAGACCGTCTCACCCTCCTCCCTCAGCTTGCCATCCTGGCCTTGCAGGAGAAACAAGGGTGGTGCCATCTTGAACAGGTTCTGGGTTCCCAGCTTCCACGCAGTCCAGCGGTCTGCGCTCCACTCCTGTGGGGTCTCTGAGAGCCTGGCGTCTCCCAGTGGGTTCCTTAGTCTAAACTGACACCCAGACAAAATATACCACAGCAACAGGGACCCAGACACTGTCAAAGGTGGAGGAGTGGGTTCTCTGTGGAGGTCTTGGTTATACTGATGTCCTTCCCACACATCCAGTAAGCCAGACAGAACCACTCCCTGGAACCATTTATCTTTGGAATAATTTTCAAGATACTGAGCTTAAAGGAGGTTGCTCCCCTTTTTGATTTGGATCTTGAAAGCCCCCCAGAGGCCTCGCTGGTGGGCCCCGTGGGATGTGGCAGAGCTGTTAGGAGGTGAGGCCTGCAAGGGGAAAGTTAGGGCATGGGATGAAAGGGGACACTGAGACTCTGGTCTCGCCTGTGTTCTCTGCTTGCTTCCTCACCACCGAACAAACATCCTTTGCCCACCCTCCCACCATTATGTACTGAGCCATCGTGGGCCCAAAGCAGAGGGGTCAAGTAACCATGGACTGAACCTCAACGAGCTGTGCACTGCCATGAACCTTTCCTCCTCATAAGTTGATTCTTTCAGGTATTTTGTCATAGTGGCAGAAAGCTGCCAAACACACTCCCTTAAAGTGTCAGGTGATAGGCCCAACAAAAGAGCTAAGTTAGTGAAATGTGTCTGCACTTTAGGTTAGAAAAAATTTGAAGACTATAAGACTTTCTCCATCATCTCTCAGATGCACACCCTGTGCCTCTTGGAGCCTTACTGCCTCAGCTGTGGCCCTGGGGAATGATACTAGGTTCCTGTGCTAGACCGTCTGTGAGTGACATGAAAAAATATGCTAATTCATATTGCAGTTCTTCAGGGTTCACCCTGCACTGATTATTGATCACAACCTGTTGTCTTAACTACAAGGAGCAGCGTAATCGGCATGTTACGGAAAATACCTCGTGTCAGGCAGGAACCTGCACCAATACATACGGTACTTTTCCTCAAGTGTGCAATCCTGACTCGGTGCTGTCTATTGGCTTGCAGCCCATGGACGGGGACCCCTTGGCACTGCTGCAGGGGTGCTAAGTACATCAAGAGCAACATTAGATGCAATGGCACAGATCAATGCGTTTTGTGAGCCTGGGAAAACCAGGCAGCAGAAGCGCAGGGGAGGCCCCACCTTGAGAAGCAGCTTCCGTTCCCAGCCTGGCTGCCCTCCTGCTCTGCCAACCAGTCCAGTGAAGAGAGCTCCCCAGAGCCCAGCCCAGTGAAATGCAGCACAAAGAGACAATTCATCCAGGTGACCCAAGGCATTAAATGAATGTGAAAGCAGCAAGGGCTTAGGTATCACTTAGTAGGTGCTCGACTAATGTTAGCTGACACACAAGACTTTAAAGACATAAAACACTTACAAAACTGGGGCCGTGTAAGTGGAGAAAGCAAAGTTGTCCCCACACACATGACTGCAAATGTTAATGTGTGGAGATGAGGTTTACAACTGGTGTTGCAGAGTGAAATCTTGCGGCATCTGCACAGTAGATGACCAAAGCCCACACCCCCCACCTGCGTACCTGTTTCATTCGTAAGGGGACAGCCTGGGAGTGGGGCTTTTGATAGAGCCCTAAGGATCCTAGGGTAGACAGAAGTTGGGAGCTTGTTTTAGAGACAGTTGTAAGGTTTGTGGCGGGACCAGGGTAAGCAACAAAAGCTGTTAAACTCCATGCAGTGCCTTTTAGGATTTCTTGGAATTTTCTTAAAGAAGCATAGCTGTAAGTTAGAGGTAGCCACAAATGAGGCAAAATTACTGATGTGTGTGTCCCTCCCCCAAACATTCATTAAAGCTTCACACATGCTGCAAAGGAAATCCCCTCCATCTGCATGACGGGTTTTTTCCACTGCCTCTGAGACACCTGCACACTTAAACGCCTGTGAAGTCAGAGCCTTCCAGCAGAGCAGCTGAGCGTCGGGAGCTGGACGCCAGCGACCTGCCGGTCACAGGAAGGGCTGCGTCTAACACAGCCTCCAGCAGCACGCGCCTCTGTGGCACACGGGTTGCTGATGCTAAACGGTGGCATACATTGCATTATGTGGACGCTGTTATGCGATGTGACATCATATCGAATAATAGCACTTCTTCGCGAAATACTAGACCGATTAGCTGCTTAGGCTGGAGGGTGAACTCAGTTGCATAATAAACTGCCAAGTGTTTGAAAACGAAAGTTCTCACCCACGCTGCTTCTGAATTTATTTCACTTAACCCTTGCCGGCAGGGCTATCACATGGGGAGCTTTTGCTCTCTTCTCTGCAAAAAGTTGCCCTTGAAGCAGGAGGAAAGCGCACTCCCTGGGATGCTTTGACTGCTGCTGCGAGGCGAATGTTTCAGCTGGAGGAAACAAAGTTATGGGAGACGCTGCGATGTGCACACGGGCTGTGAGAGGGGTTCGGGGGTTCAGCGCACGTTCACAGAGCTCCCGCCCCCACTTGAGGACAGTAGAGAGAGGCCCGTGCAAAATGTGACCTGCGCTTTGTCTCTGTTCCCCGGTCCCTTCTGAGCCTGGATTTTGTTGTTCACTGGCTAAATTTGCATTCCTCATGCCTAACATAAACACTGACTGGTTTCTCTCAGCTAAGCTTAGGAAAATAGATAACAATTTCAGAAAGCAAGGAAGTTTAGTAAATCAGAAAAAGGCAGCCCAGACGGTGCACAATTAAAGTGACACAGAAATAACGAAAACGTGGGGGCAGCATGTTGTATGTGGGGTGTACATGCTGCCTGTGTGGATGCAGGTTTAGGCATGCAGGGGCTTCTCTGCGTACTGCACGCATGACCAACACTCAATGAGTATCTGCTGTGTTCTCTTTTAGACGCTTTGCATGGACTATTTAATTTTCATAATCCCGCTGTGTCGTAGGTCTTCCTAGCATGCTCAGTTTTTACAGGCGGAATGGAGAAAGCCTAAGTCACATGCCCAGAGCCAACCAAGCCATCATGGGGCAGAACCAGACCTCAACCCAGCAATCCTGCGCTTGAGAGACGATGCCAGCGGACGGCGTGGGAAGGAAAGGTCTCTGGGGGCCCAGCCCCGCTGAAAGAGCCTGGCTAGGTGAGAGCAGTGTTGCTCAGGGTGTCCCGGCAAGCTCCAGGTCAAGGCCCTAAGACAATTCCTTACCAGAACTGCTCTGTCAAGCACAATGTTAGTCAGAAATCAAGTGAGGCCTGAGCGCCTGACAGCTTTCACATTCACGAACACTTCTGTACTTTTCCCCGACAGCATAGGGGTGGAGTACAGACCCCGTGCGTGCCAGGCAAGTGCTGCATAGCTGAGCCACGTTCTCTGATGCCCATTTAAATGCTTAGAGATGCAGAGCCCACAGGTACAAAGTAAGGGGAGGTGGTGACCCAACAGGCCTCCTCGAGGGCTGGCGGTGCTCACGGTTGTGGGGCCTGAGGCCAGGAGGACGCTGGAGGAGCGCCCCTCAGGCGCAGCTCACTGGCAGCCAGGGAAACTGCACCCCTCTATGAGGAGAGTGGGGTCCTGTGATGTATGGAGGCGCTGGCATTGGCCACGCAGAAGCCACGCAGGAGCGTCCATGGTGGGGCACAGGCAGGCTGGAGAGACGGAGGAAGGCCGGGAGTGAAGATGCGCAGGCAGTGTCCTTGTGGCCTGCAGAAGCGTGGGTCCAGAGGCCTGGAGAGGGGAGAGGCCGTGCAGACTCGGCGGTGTGCAGCCAGAGAGGGAAAGCCTGACCCCTGTGCGCGGTGGCTTTGTCTGGTGCTGTTTTCAATGAGAAATGCATGTAAAACAGAACCACTTTGGGAGGGCTTCTGGTCACTGGACTGCTTCTCTGAATGCGCTAACGGTGTGGCTCTGAGGTATGTTCCAGGAAGTGGTGTTTTAGGGTGACTAGCGTG